CTATTGAGGATTTTTTTCATTCGTTTGTCAGGGATATTGGATTGTAGTTTTCTTGCAGTGTCCTTGTATAGCTTTGTTATCAGGGTAGTGCCGCCTGACAAAGTGAATGTGGAAGTAGTCTTTTCTTCAGTGTCGTTGGAAGCATTTGAGAAGGCTTTATGTTAGTTATTTAAATATTTGGTAGAAAGCATGCAGTAAAACCTTGGTTTTTGAAGAACAGGATTGATAGGTATAGTTTTCCTGGTTGGCAAGTTTTGTTTCTTTTTTTTCTCCAATTTTTTTTTTAGTGTAACACCCCACGCCCTTCTAGTCTTCAAATTTTTATTAAAAATTCCCCTTGTAGTTTTATGAAGACCTTGTCATATGTAACAACTCACTTTTCTCTTTCAGCTTTCAGTAGGATATGTCTTTAACTTTTAACAATTTGATTTGTTGTGGGTCTCTTTGGATTTATCCTCCTAAGAAGTCTGTTGTACTTCCTGGATGTAGACTTTTTTTTTTTTTCTTTATCTGATTTAATCAAGTTTGTCATGACATCATTTATTTAGGGCCTGTCCTGAATTTTGAAAATTCTCTTTTGAGAAATCTATACGGAATGTCAAGATCCATGGTATCATTTGCTCAACTTCCTGCTTACAACATTATATGCATTTTTCCCTCCAGAGAAAACCAGCAATTAACGTCTTGGTTCAGGATTACTCAAGTAAAACCAATTTAATACTTGGTTGTGATGACTCCTGCATATCCAGAATTTGTCCCTAACTAGATAGATCACAGTAGACATTCTGATCATTAAAGGGGTGGTGAGTGAGAAAAGGAATGCACATTTGCTACATCTAGATTTCTAATCTTTTCTCGGAAAAGTTTCTGTCTTTATTTTTTTCTTTTAAAAAATTGTTATTTTAGTTATACATGACAATAGAATATATTTTGAACTATTATGCATACATGGAGTATAACTTCCCATTCTTTTGGTTGTACATGATATAAGTTGCACTGGTCTTGTATTCATATATATGAACATAGGAAACTTATGTCTGATTCATTCTACTCTTTTTCCTTTTCCCATCTCTTCCTTCCCCTCATCTAATCTAGTAAACTTCTATACCTTCCCTAGTTGTGGGTTAGCATATCAGAGAGAATATTTGGCCTTTGTTTTGGGGGATTGGCTTATTTCACTTACCATTATAGTCTCCAGGTCCATCCATTGACCAGCAAAATTCATAATTTTATTCTTCTTTGTGGCTGAGTTATAGTCCATTGTGTATATAGACCACATTTTCTTTATCCATTCATCTGTTGATGGTCACCCAGGTTGGTTTTGTAGCTTAGCTATTGTGAATTGAGCTGCTATAAACATTGATGTCCTGCCTTTATTTTTTGAACATGTTTTTCTGTCCCTTTTTTTCTTATCACATTATTGTTTTATTGTTTTATTATCTAGCCTTACCACCTCTCTCAGTCTTAATATATAATATATGGATAATCACAATGCATGAATTATTCTTTTTAAAATATTTTTGTAGTTGTAGACGAACAGAATGCCTTTATTTTGTTTATTTTTATGTGGTGCTGAGGATCAAACCTAGAGCCTCACACAAGGTAGACAAGCACTCTGCCACTGAGCCAGCCCCAGCCCTGAATTCTTCTTGATGGTGTCCTGTAAGCCCCTTAATCAATTAGATCATTTCTTTTTTTTTCTTTTCAGATTAGATCATTTCCAATGACCTGTCTTCAAGTTTGACTTGATCTTGCCAGCTGTTGAACTACTCTATTGAGTTTTTGAGCTCAGTTATGTTAGTTAGCTTCATGATTTTCTTTTTGGTGTTTTTTATGTTTTCTTTGTCTTTGTTGAGAACTTCAGTTTGTTCATGCTTTGCTATATTTACTTTGCTGAGTATCTTTATGAATGTCCTTTTTAATTTTCTGTGAGGTAAATCAAGTATCTCCCTTTCATTAGGTTCAGTTTCTTGAGATTTATCTTGCATTTTTATTTGAAACATATTGCCTTATGTTTCATTTCTTTCTTAACTTTGTTTCCTTAACTCAGCCTTTGCATAGTAGATGAAAGAACCGCCTCTCTCAGTCTTGTTAGTGTGCTCTTTTATAGGAGACATTCCTCCCTAATCAGCCTGACCAGAGATTTTAGATGCCTCAAAACTCTATGTGCTTGTCCAACCTGCTCTTATTGTTCTTAATGGCCACTAAGAAATTAGAGAGTGCTGAGATGCTCTGTTGCCTTGAGAGATGTAGGATATAAGCCAGTCCCTTGGGGTGCAGCTAGAAACGTTAGAGTTTTAGGTATATGTTACAGTTTCTTCTTTCCTTGCAGAGAAGCTAAGAGCTAGAGTTTATCTTCCATTCTTTCTTCTCTACACCAAGAAGAGGGTCTGAGGCAGATATGTATAATAACGATGAGACTGCTCATTTTGAGCCTGCAGAGATAGCTGCAGAATATTTGCAAGTTTAAAAATCACCTTATTGTTGGTCTTCTCTTTTTTATTTGTTCTAATTACATGATAGTAGAATGCATTTTGACACATCGTACATAAATGGAGTATAACTTCTTATTCTTCTGGTTGTAATGATGTAGAATCACACTGGTTGTGTAATCATGTATGTAATAGGGTAATAATGTCTGATTCATTCTACTAACCTTCCTACTCCCTTTCCCCCTCCCCTATTTTCACTTCCCTCTGCCTAATGCAGAGTAACTTTATTTTTCCTTAGCGCCCCCAACTTATTGTAAATTAGCATCCACATATCAGAGAAAATGGTCGACTTTTGGTTTTGGGGGGATTAGCTTATTTTGCTTAGCATAATATTCTCCAGCTCCATCCATTTACCTGCAAATGCCATAATTTCATTCATCTTTAAGGCTGAGTAATATTCCATTGTGTGTGTGTGTGTGTGTGTGTGTATCTCACATGTTCTTTATCCATTCACCTTTTAACATTTTAAATATTTCACTCCACTCTCCTCTTGCTTGCATGGCTTCTATAGAGAAAAGCAATGTTGTTTGCATCCTTGCTCTTCTATAAGTAAGGTGCTTTCTTTCCTTCTTCCTTCAACATTTTTCCTTTGTCTGAATTTTTTAAAAAATTGAACGCTGGGGTTGTAGCTCAGTGGTAGAGTACATGGCTAGCATGCATGAGGCACTGCATTTGATCCTTAGCATCACATTAAAAAAGAAAATTTAAAAAATAGAATAAAGGTATAAATATTTGAATATAATACACTTCAGTATAGATTTTTTTTTTTTTTTTTAGTATATGTCTTGCCTGGGGTTCACTGAATTTCCTGGATCAGTGGTTTGACATTTATCATTAGTTTTAGGAAATTCTTAGTCATTTTTGCTTCAACTATTTCTTTCCTTTTTATCTTGCATCTCATATGGTATTCTTATTGCATGTATATTTTACCTTTCATAACTGTCCTATAGCTTTGAAACATTCTGTTCTTTTTTTCATTCTTTTTTTCTCATTGAATTTTAGATTTAGAAGTTCCTGTTGACATTTCTTCAAGCTCACTGATTCTTTCCTTAGTTGTACCCAATCTGTTGATGGGTTCTTAAAGTCATTCTTCCTATTACAGTTTCTTTTTTCTAATGATTCTTTCTTCAACTTTCCATGTTTCTCCTATATTATTCATTTCCTCTTTTAAATTGTTCACTTTATCCATGTCCTTAGCATGTTAATCATACTTGTTTTAAATTACTGGCATGATAATTCTGATAATATTGCTACCATATCTAAGTCTATTTCTGATGTTCACTGTGCTTCTCAAGAGTATATTTTCTGTCTTTTAGTATGCCTTTTCTTTTTCTTTCCTTTTTTTGCAGGCTAGATATTATTTAATAGGTAAAAGAAAATTAGGTATATAGGACTTTAGTGTGATGTTTTATGTTTATATGGCTAAAGTTTAGCCAGTGTTAATCTTTGCTGTAGCTGTAGGTGATTGTGACTAAGCTTTCCTCTGCTATTCTTGTTTTTGTCTCCCATTATCTTTGATTTTCCATAGATACTTTGTAAATATTGTGTGAATAGTACAGCTTTTAGTCATATTTTCCTGTTATTATACAGGCACCCATGTGATGTGGTGGTAAGGTGTCACCGGAGGGAAAATATTCTATAAGCCTATGATTATATCTCTTTTAGTAAGTTGTGCCCTGGCCTTTGACCTTCCCAAGTGCTTCTCAGTAATGTTTTGTTTTTCCCCTTCAGGAGACATAGGAAAGCAGGCTGAGTCTTGAGTAGAATATTTCCCTTTAGCCGGTTCAGTTATTTTGTGGTCAAACTGCAGTAGATTAGGGTCTATAATAGTTTCTCTTCAGGGAACTATTATGAAGAACAGAAAGAGTGGGCATAAAGATGACTACTTTTCTTCTGCCTTTCCAGAAGCATAGAAGAATGAGAGGATTTTTCTCAGATCTTCACTGTAAGAACCTCACAGGGCTCTTGAAGATAAAAATTAAAACAAAACTGGGATTCCTTCTAGGATCAGGAATTTTTCTCTCAAACTCATACATATTGGGCCTCCAGCAGTTAGTCAATTACAAATTAAGTTTTCCTATCCTGCTATTTATTTCTTAGGAGATTTTTGCCCCTGGGCTTCTGCTACAGTAAGTTTTGAGTCTCAATTTCCTCCTCTATGTCTCTATATAGTTTCTTTTTTGGGGGGAGGCGGGATAACAACAGTTTTCCCCATGATCCTCAGTTCTATTACTTCTATGGTGAATCTATGAGTAGTTGATTTTCAGTGTGTTTAGAATTTTTTTCTTGTAGTGTGAATGGAAGAGATCACTTCTAAGCTTCTTACATGCTGGGCCATAATGCAAGGGACTTGTTGAAATATCAAAGACTTTGTTTTTATAACATTTTGATCTCTTGAGAACTCATTTGAGTAACTATCTTTTAATAAATTCACTTTATTTTGTTAGAGGAGTAAAGGGTAAACTCTAAAAAAAAGATTAACATTTTTTGTTTACTTTCCTCAAATAGATCCCAAATGCCCAGGAGATGTTGATTTTCATAATAGTGACTGGGACATTAAGACAATCACCAGCTCCTTGAAATTCTACCTCAGGTATGCCTGTTTTGAATTGGGATTTTGCTCTTCATAGATAATGAAATTCGGGTGGAGATTAGAGGTAACCCACAGTTTCAAAAAATTAGATAGGATTACTAACCACAAACACACACAAAGAGTAGGAGAATTTCTGTCAAATAAGAAAGTACATTAGAAGACCTTTTCTTTAAATCTGAGAAATTAAGCAAAGGAAACATAGAAATTATAATTGTTAATGAAAATGTTTTTGAAAAAAGTACAGTATTTAACAATGTTTTTGGAATAATTGAAGGAGTTTTTCCATTGTTGCAGATAAAGTTAGTGTTATGATGGGTTCACTAGTAAAATCACACCTTGTGAAAATTCATGATTATTAACATATTTTAGTGAATAACAACCGTTTTGAAATATCAAATTGTATTGGGTAATGTGTGTGTGTGTGTGTGTGTGTGTGTGTGTGTGTATGTGTGTGTGTGTGTGCATGAGAGTGCCATACCCCCAATATATATATATGATGAAAATAAAAACCAAGTCAAGAAAATACAGTAGCAATCATAAAATTATTAGAACTAAATAAAGTGGCAGCAGTAAGGAAAAAAAAAAGGTAACTTACCAGCAAAATTTGGAGTACACAGTGACAATGAATATATTATTCAATATATTGGCATAAATTTATATAAAAGTGATTTTATATACATATGTATGTATGTATACATATATATGTGTGTATACATATATATGATGTCTGTATGTATACATATATATCGAACCCAAGGGCTCATGCATGCTAGGCAAGTACTCTACCATTGATCTACATCCCCATCCTTTTATGTTTAATTTTTTTAAAACAGGATCTCACTAAGTTTCTGAGGATAGCCTCAAATTTGTGATCCTCCTGCTGCAGCCTCCTCAATAGCTGGGATTATAGGCATGCACCACTGTACTCAGCCAAGATAGATACGTATTTAAAATCCATTCTATTTTTTTTTTACCTTTTATGTCCCATATTATGTGCCACCATACTTTAAATGCTAAAATGTCTTATTTTTCAACTACCATGCTCTTTTGGCATCACAGGACTAATTCCCAATAGATTATATTCTGTTAAATGACCTCCTGCTATATAGCATTATCATCTTAGAAGTTAACATCATCATGAATGTTCTTTCCATAAGTATATTTCCTTAATCTGCCAAAGAAGAAAGCAACTACTGTAGGAAGGTTTATTTTATGCTAGGCAATATGCTAGTTGGTTACATTGACAGTGTCATTGTTTTCTCTCCTAATAACTGAGTACCACCAGTGATGCGGTATCCATTTTACAGATGAGGAAATTGAGGTGCACTCTTACCACATTAAATAATATCCATGATAAAATCTATATTTTTTGAACCTTAGTGTCTCTTAATTGGGCTGCTGGTAGTGGGATGTCTTCTTACCTTGTCCTCAATTGCTGGGGACTGTGACCTTTATGGGATTGTTGGGTAATTTAGTAAAAACAGAAAACAATATTCTATGAGTACTTTCAGAAGACTTGTGATGGTGAGAATAATTGATACTTTCTCTCTCTCTCTCTTCCTTAAAAAGAATCAGTATTTTCAAAAGTGTTTATAGGTTAAGACTATTCTAACCTTATATCATTTCCAACTCATCCCACAATTTATAATATTGCCCTTTTGAAAGATGAGATGCCTGAAACTGTGAGTGGGCAACACCCCCAATAAGAGATATTTGTTCTCCAGACTCTTATCTGTGAACTTTTAATATGCACCAGCTGATCAATACCTTTTAGATTTCTTAAAGATAAAAGTGTTCCTAGAGTGGGTTTCCATCTGTGTTCTGAATTTTTAAATAACTTCTTGTTGCTAACATTTCCAGGAAAGTATTAAAACAATCACTCCCTTCTCCTGTGTCTATCCTCTTTTATTTAACTAGCTCTGTCATTCAAGAAGTGCTCATCTCTAAATTAGCCAACATTTTCTGAGTGCCTATTATACTACTTGTCATATACAAGTAGTATATTATACAGTAAACATACAGTTGAGAGAAGATATGGTCTCTGATCTTAAATAGTTTATATTGAGGAGCACAAACACAAGATAAATAATCATACAAATATAACAAACAACAATAAGTTTCTGAAAAGAAGGTATAGTGTTCTTTGAAGACATTTAATAGCATTTTAATTAGCTTTTTTTTTGCCTTTGTGACTAAAACACCTGGCAAGAATAATTTTAGATGAGAAAAAGTTTTCGTGGTGCTCACAGTTTTAGAGATCTCAGTTCTTAAATGGCTAACTCCATTCTTTGGGGCCTGCAGTGAGGCAGAACCTCATGGTGCAAGGACACAGTGAAAAGCACTGCAGAACATGTTAATCAGAAAGCAGAGAGAGCTCTTCTCACCAAGGACAAAATATAAACCCCAATGTCACACTCCAGTGATCTACTTCCTCCCGCCAGTTAATCCCCATTATTGGATCAATCCACTGATGAGGTTATGACCCTCATAATCTAATCATTCACCTCTGAACATTCTTGCATTGTCTCACACATGAACTTTTGGGGGCATCACATAGCCACAGCAAATAGGATCACTTGACTTTTTCTGATTGTTTAAACTCTGGTTTGAGCTATAAGTTAAAACCAAGTGAGAGGGGGTGGTTCCTAACAAAGGGAACTGTACATCTAAATGCCTTAAGACAGAGGGGAGGAAGGCCATTCAAGAAACTACATGGACCAGTGTAGGTATTCAGTATAGAAAGAGAGGAGAAGTACATAGGGGTCAGATGCTGGGCCTTTTAAGACATTTTAAAAATTAGATTTTAGATTTATCATGAATGAGAAGATTATAGAAAAGTTGTAAGTGGGGGATTACATGATGAGATTTGTATTGTGGAAAAATAGTATGGATACTAGATTAGAGGAAGACAAAATTGGTAGAGGTGGAAGTCAATAAGCAGGCTACTTCTGTGGTCCAGGCAGGAGATGTTATTCCTGCTTGGACTACGAGGTAGCAGTGAAGATTGGTAGATAGAAACATATTCAAAAGATTTAGGAAGTATAGAGTTGATGAATTAGATATGAGGATTGGGGAGAGGGAAATTAAAGGACAGCTTCCACATGTCTGGCCCATACAACCAAGTGATGGTCATGCATGATAGCCAGATTTGAGAGGGACAACAAGTTTGCTTTTAGATATGTCAAATTGTGAGTGTCTTTGAAGAACCTAGGGCACTACATTAAGCAGGCAATTGAAAGTGCAACTCAGTTAGAAGTTCTTGGCTTGAGCTGTACTTGGGAATTATTAACCCTATTGCTGATAATTAGAACCAGGATTAAGACAAGCCAGTCTTATGAGATGCTTCACCCCATCCCCACTAGCCTCTGTATGAAATACTGTGCATGTCCTACATACTTAACCCCCAGTTACTCTTAACTCCATTTTCATCTGACTCTTACCTCTACTGTTCCACAGAAACTGTTATTGCCAGGGTCACCAGTGACTCCCTTAGTGCTGCACACAGTCTTTATATTACTTGAGTTCTCTGTAGAGTTAAAAATTGTTAACAAACCCTCCTTAAAACTTTCTCATCTTTTGGATTTTGTAATATCACTTGAGTTTGGATTTTCTTTTGCCTCATTGGCCATTCTGGTCCATCTTCTTTATGAACGTTCTACCTGATATTTCCCAGGGCTATGTTTTCTTTCTACTACACTGAGGGATGGAAAATTCAAATATCTTTAGGGTCCAGGAAATGAAAATGAGTGAAGTAGACAGTTTTCATATTAAACTTGTTATATAATGAACCTTTATTTGCATAGCAATCCCTTCATACATAAACAGAAATAGTTTTTACTTCTGCAACCTTCCATGTAATCCAAAGGAGCCAGATCATTCCATTTTTCAACAGAGATGGAAATAAAGATTTTTATATGAAATATCTTAACTTTTCTTATTTTGATTGTTGTTTCAATTCCATTTCACTTTTATACACTGTACTAGACATAAAACAAAACAAAACAAAAACAAAAACAATCAGAAAGGAAATGTCAGAAAGCCTTTTTTGGCTGTTAGTTTGACATCTCTCCTAGAGCAGGGCCATCTGTTCTCATGAACCACCATTCTGGGTTCATGATTTCCAAATCTGCTTTTCAGACCTACAAGGGCCCTGCTTTCACCTTCTTAATAGTTATTTTCCCCTGGCTAACTGAGAACTCCCTCTCGTTTATCCTCTCTTCTTTCCTCTTAATCCATTCCTATTCTGTCTACTCACCCAAACTAAATTAGTCCTTCCCTCACCATCATACCCAATCAATAAAGCAATTGTCTTTTTAATATCTTTCAAAGGAGCCTCTTCACCTTGTATTTGTATGTTATTTCCACTATTTTTGTTCAGGTCTCTATTACCTATTATCCCCTGATTGCTACAATAATAATAGCAGGCCATGTAGCATAGTAATTGAGAACAGGGAGTCTGGAGACAAACTGCCTTGATCTGCCAGTTATTAGTTTTGTAAATTTGGATGAATTCTTTAACTTTTGTGAGTCTCAAGTTTCCTCATCTGTTAAGTGAATATAATCTTAGTATTTACCTCACAGGGTAATCATAACGTTTAAATGAGTTAAAGCACACAATTCACTTAAAATGATGCAAAGTTTACTATTATTATTATTTATTCCTTCCTTTCTCACAACATATATTTATTTTTTACACTTGTCCCACTGCATGGAAAATTTTGTGTATGATTCTTTCCTCCACTAGAATTAGCTCCTTGGGGGTTTGGACTGTACTTATTCATCTCTGGATCCACCAAACCTGGCAAAATTCCAGGAACAAGTAGGTACTCAGCAAATATTTTTTGACTAAATGAAGAAAATTTAAACCTAAATTTCTTCTTCAGTTAAATAATGATTTGAATAACTGTTCCACCTGATGGGATCTTTGGAAAGATGAAATGGAAGAATAGATGCAAAAGTTCTTGGAAATTCTATGCATATATTAGATTGTAAGGAATTCATGGTAGCATTTAGAACGTGTCTCATTTGGAACTTTGCAGGACTTTTTTATACTTCCATTATCTTTGGGTAGCAATTATAGACCTTTTTAGAAGCTTTAGTCTATATTTTTCTAGGTCTTTGGTTGAATTACTAGGAACTGTTTTAGGTACAGAGAAAAATGTATGCAATCACACTAGACTGTGGGGCTCAGAAACATTGCCCTCACAGTCCACAGAATGAGAATCCAAGGTCTGGCTACACCCTCCCCAAAGGAACTTACAGTCTTCATTAATTTCAGGAATCTTTCTGAACCTGTCATGACCTATAGGCTTCACAAAGAGCTGGTCTCTGCTGCCAGTAAGTATTTATGTTACTAGTTATTGTGTTGTCCTGGTTTCTTAGTAAGGTTTGCAACAATAAATTTTGAAAACTACTTGAGGGACAAAAACCAAAAACACAGATTTTGCCCACTGCCAAATGAGAATATTCCTGCTTGCTAACTCAAGAGTTATATGATTTTTCATAAATCAATGTTAGCTGAGTTGATTGGAAGAAACTGGCTAACTTGAAGGATGTGACAGGTATAAAGACTTTGGTTTATTTATTTATTGTTTCTTACTTCAAAACAAGAGAATTGTCTCATATTAACAAGGGACAGCAAAATGGTTACATTACAACTGCTGTTTCAGCTTCCTTTAGCACTTTGCCTTTTCAATTATGTTGTGAGTCCTTACTCTTAATCTGTTAGCACAAGATCACATTTTCTAGATATGAAAAATGAGGGTGATGATAGAGGGGTATATGTGAACTAGGGTATATAGAGTCACCCCAAAGATTGGCCATTAAGGAAGCATTAGCCATGTTGGGTGAGACCACTTTATGACTGTCTCTCCTGCCTGTACGCAGCCCTTATCCTTCATGGTGATCTGTGTAGGGAGAATGATAAGGATTCAGGGGATTTGACCTCTTGACAGGTTTTTGAAGTGAGGGAACCTTGCTCAGTGCTTCTGGGCTCTCTCATTGATTTTCATAAGAACCCAGAGGCAGCAACAGTACCACAAGGAAGGTGGGTGAGAAAGGGTTGTCAAACAGAGGTTTACATGTGGGATTTTAGGAACAATCTGCTGTGGCTAGAATTCTGATTGCCTTTAAAACAGCCTTATCATCTCCTCTACTCCTCCTCTTCTATCTTCAATTTTTCTTCATCTTAAAAGGACTATTTTTTCTCTCTGACTTTTGTTCTCTTTCTTCTTGGACTCTCTTTGTCATTGTCTCTGTACCTATTTATCTCTTCATCTTTTTGATTCTCTCTGTGTCTCTGGTTGTCTTTCTCTGTATCTGTGTTTGTGTGTGTGTCTCTGCTTGTGTGTTTGTATGTGTATATGCATATGAGAGTTTGTTCAATGCAATTGCCCACAAAGCCAAACATCTTTCACACTCTTCTTTCTGACAGAGTCTGATAACCTGGATTATCGGCTAGGAGCTATTCATTCCCTGGTTTATAAGCTACCAGAAAAGAACCGTGAGATGCTGGAACTTCTGATAAGACACTTGGTCAAGTAAGTAACTGTGTAGTTTTCAGAAAGAGTTCCTGTTGGAGGAGGACTGGGTCACATGGGAGAGCTACAGAGAAACTGTCTCTCAGCTCCCAACTGCTTCCTGGTCAGGCTGAGTGCTATGTGAGGAAGGTGATTTTGCCTTTACCATTGTGTGTATCTTCTCAGAGCCATCATGTAGCTAGATTGTCTTAGTTGAAGTGTAACACTCAGGTAGTTGGACTGGGAAGAGGTTTTACTGAGAGATAAACCTGGTTTTGAATCCTAGCTCTATAACTTATTTAGCTGGGTAATCTTAGTCAAACTGCTCTGAGACTCTATTTTGTCATCTTTACAATGAGAATAGTAATGCCTACCATACAAGACTTATGTATCAGAGTGAATACAGCTATCCAGGTGCATATCTGTAATCTCAGCAACTCAGGAGGCTGAGGCAGGAGGATCACGAGCTCAAGGCTAGCCTTAGCAATTTAGTGAGACCCTGAATCAAAAGGAAAACAACAACAAAAAGAAAACCTAAATTGGGCTGAGGATATATTTCAGTGGAAAACTACTTATGGATTCAATCCGCAGTACAAAAAACGAAAACAGAAAAGAGTAAGTAATGCCAGCTTGGCATGGTGGTGCATGCCTGTAATCCTAGCTACTCAGGAGGCTGAAGCAGGTGGATTGCAAGTTTGAGGACAGCCTGGGCAACTTAGTGAGACTGTATTTCAAAACAAAAATAAAAGAATTAAAAGTCTGTGGTTATAGCTCAATGGCAGAGTGCTTGCTTATGCATGAATAAGCCCCCTGGTTTCAATATGTAGTACCTCAAAACAAAACCCAGTGAACAGAGGTATAGCATATGGCACAGGCACATAGGTGACTTTCAACAAATGAAAGTTGTTAAGATTTTGGTCAATTTCTTGCCCTGGTGGCATAAAGAAACAGCATTACAGACAGTAAGCCTGGTGATAGGCTCTGAGATAGGTGGGTGAAAGGGGCACTTGTGCCCCACAGTGGTGTTTCCTGGTCAAAGAATTTAGTGTTGTAAATAAAGATGAATTTACCTGGCTCAATAAAATGTGGAAAGCACTGTGTTCAGGAGTCAACATTCATGGATTCTGGTTTCATTTCTGCTGCTAGCCTGCTCAGCAGGCAGGTTACTCTCAAGGCTTCATCTGGTACATTAAACAGTTTGGTGTAAGCTTAGAGGCATTGCAATGCATTTAAAACATATATTTAGCAAATAAAGTTGTCCTTATTAAAAAAGGTAATCATAAGACATTTTAACCTTATTTGGAGAGGACTTCAAACACCTAAACTTGAGTCCTTTAGTGAGGGTGAGCCTCTGGTTAATGACCCTCTCAGCACCCCACTGTGAGAGACTCTGAGCACTCTGTCCATCTGGATTTCAGGTCTTTCTATGATATCTCACCAAATATCTAATCCAGGTTTGACTTTTTCTAATTTTGGATTTTTTAACATTTCCTTAGTAAATGAATGTTACATACACTTATATAGATAATAAGTATCATTTATAAGAGGATAGCGTTTATATTTATATTTATTGCCAATGTTTGCATTTTATCCTAATATACAACATTAAGGGATGTTTTCTCTCCAAAAAGTAATTTGTGGTCATCTTAGTAAAAGTAGAGAAGTAAGAAAAAATAAAATAAAATAAATAATAGAAAATATGCATGTTAATTTGAAATTTCCCTGGGCAAAGAAATATTGGGTTCAAGTTACACTTTTACCTTTAATTTTTATGTGATCGAAAGAAAGTATCTCCCATTTTTTGAACCTTAGTTTCTTCATGTGAGGGTACAGGATCATATAATCTTTAAAGACAATTTAAACTGTGATTTTATAAGTGTCTCAACATGTGACAAGAGCCAAGGACTCATGAATATGTCCCTGTTGGTAGTGGGTAACAGGGTGCCTGCTTCCACCCATCCAGAGGCTAGCCACCTGGCTTACTTCAAAAATCTTGGTCCTCAAAATCCATAAAACAGCCAGGTGCAATGGCACCCATCTGTAATCCAGGCAGCTCAGAAGCCTGAGGCAGGAGGATCGTGAGTTCAGAGCCAGCCTCAGCAAAAGTGAAATGCTAAGCAACTCAGTGGAACCCTGGGGATGTGGCTCAGTGTTGAGTGCCTCTGAGTTCAATCCTGGTACCAAAAAAAAAATCCCAAAAAACAAAACAAAAAACCCCCCCAAAACCCAAAAAACATAAAACCAAAAGAGACATGAACAGATTAACCACAGAAAGACAGGTGCCTTTAAATATGTGGAAAACTACTGAAGCTCACTCATTAGTAATAAAGATGCAAATTAATCTTACACTGAACTATCATTTATTGGCAAATTCTAGTGCACAGTCTCTGTTGATGAGACAATAGGGAAAAGGCATTCGGATACATTGCAGGACTGATTCTCTAGAGTCTCAAAGGAAGAGGATTTGGCAATATCTAACAAATTTGCATATTCAGTTACCCTTTGAAGTAGCAATTCCACTTTCAAGCAACTACTCTAAAGACACACCTCCACAGATACAGAACAGAAAGTGTACAGGGTTTGTCACTGCAGCATAATTTTAATAGCAAAAGGTTGCAAAAATGAACTTGCAGAGTAAATGAGGGTACATCTGACCAGGCAGTCTTGTATGGTCATAAAAAACAGAAAGAGGTAGGTATAAATTAGAGTACATAATATGCTAAAGTTTTTGTAAGAAGAAAGAAGAAAACAAGAATATGGAAACACTCTACATATCTATATACATATTTTCTTATTTTGTCAAAAGAAGTACAGTAAATTATTTTAAAAATGACTCTCTAGAATTCCACTCAGTGGTATATATCCAAGATAAATGTAAACACATTGTTCAAAATCCTATGCAAAATGCTCATAGCAGCATTATCATAGTTGTCCAAAGGTGGAAAGTTTCCCAATATCTATCAATAGATGAATGGATGAACAAAATATCATATATTCCATACAAAAGAATACTATTTAGCCATCAAAAGGAATGAAATACTGATTATACATATATGGTATAATATGGTTGAACCTTGAAAACATTATGCTAAATGAAATAAGTCAGACACAAAAAGTCCACATGTGAATCCATTTACATGAAATAATAAATCTATAGAGACTGATACAAAGTGGATTAATGGTTGCCAGGGGCTGGGAAGTGAGGAAGTGAAAACTGACTGATAATGGATATGGAGTTTCTTTTTGGAGTAATGAAAATTTCTGGAATACTTAGACAGAGATTACAGTTGCACCATTCTGTGAATATACTAAGAACTATTGAAAAGAGGGGGATATATGGTATATGAAATTTATCTCAACAAAGTTATAAAATTAAAGAAATAATATGTTTATATAGGGAATCAGTGGTAAATAATGCTGAAGGGGAAGGGATAACAAGCTAGATTGCTCTAAGTCTACCTCCTTATATGATTTTGACTTTTAACTCATATTGATGTTTTTCACACCCCAAACTAACATTAAATCAAAAAGAAAAATATTATTAATCCTAAAACTGAACACCAAAAAAGTAAATGAATCTAAATGTTTATCAACTTGAGAACATAATCACACAGAGAAAGCCGTTATTTCAGCTAATTTGTCAACACAGTCTATGATTCATCCTTCACAAGATATACTCTAAAAATAAGAAGAGCTATTAGAAGTTTTAAACATGATCTAGTAGGACTTTCTTTTTGCAGTGATGTAATTATGATTTGAAATGTATATCTCACAAGGATAGAATAAAAATAAATGTATTAAAGTTGTTAGAAGCCAAGATTTATGGTTTAAGAAAAGATAAATACATAATATAAAATTAAAGATGTAAAGAAAATTTTTTATAGCATTACGGTAAAATTGGGAATATCTATATGAATTTATAATTTAAAAATAAAACAATAAATCAAAACTTGTATTCATTGTACCAGTCTTGAAATGATTCTACCTAAAAAGCAGTGCATACACTTAGTGCCTGATTTCTTTGGTTATAAATTGCATTCCCTTTTCAAAGGCACCAGGCATGCTTAAGAAATGGCTGAGTTTAAGTATATATGAAGGAAAATAAATTTTATCCAATACAGTTGGCTAAGGAAGGAAGACTTGAAACGCTAATAACAATCATATCCAAAATGGACACAAGAACCTGCTTGAAAGGACTAACACTTGATGACATTTGGAGGCAACATGAGTAGCAGCATATGATATTGACCCATAAAATAAACAAAAACTCATGGTGTTGGTAAAAGAAAGAAAATGTTTATTATATAAGAATACTGGCTAATAAATGTAGGAGAAAAGATAGAAATTGAGAAATCACTAATTTACAACCTTACTACCCTGTTTTAGAGATTGATCAGAACTATTAGGTAAGAGAATATTGAGGAACAGTATAGTCACATAATTTCAGTGTATTACTCAAAGGTTAATTACTAATTGCAAGTGGAAATAACAGATCTTTACAGTGAAGCCACGTTATAGACACCACTTTAAGTAATTGATCAAAGTTAGTATCACTGATAATGGTATAAACTGATCTCATTTGACCCCTAATTTGATTTTGTGAGAAGTATCAAGCATGTTCTGTAGGATATGTTTGTAAAAAATGTTTAACCTGATTTAAATTAAGTCTGTCCAGTGTATAGGCAATAAAAATATAGAAAAATAGAGAGTGTCTGACATTTTATGAGACAATGGGCTTGGACTTATCAAAAAGTCAATGCCATGGGGAAAAGAGGTAGGGATACTGTTTTATACTAAGAGACTAAAGAAACAAACAAATTCAGTACATGAAATTTGACTGGATCCAAATTTGAGCAACTTAATTATAAAAGACATTTTGTGTGGCATTTGAGAAAATCTGTACATGAATTGGATATTAGATGATATGGAAGTACTGTAAATTTCCTTAGATGTGAAAATGTTACTCTGATTTGTAGGTAAATATGCTTGTTCTTTGAAGGTAATTGCTGAAGTATTTAGGT